AAACTATACATCATATGAAAATACATACTTATATTTTGATATTTGCCTTGAGCATATATTGAAAAGTTAATATTTTAATTTTGAAATATGTCATTTAAAAAAAATGATTATAAATTATTGAAACTACTAAACATCTCACATTAAAAAAATTCGTTGGTGTAAAGTTTTGTTACACAAATATGCAAATAATCATAAAATCATATGAGTAGAAACCTCATTTAATAAATATCCATATTAAAAGTGTGCTATATTACTATGTTTATATCATTTAAATTTAATTATATATCATATACAATATATAATATTGATTATTTTGATTTATTTACTCTAATTGTGAATAAACAAGAGGGATAGTTAAATTTATATGCATACGCCAATTTATTACATAATAGTAACTGATTTCTTAGTTATTTAATATATATATTTATTATTTTATTATTTTATAATATTCATAAAAATATAAAATAACTAATAAATATAAAATACTTATTGTGCATAAAGTGCAGATCTTAACCTAAGTATGTATCTCTTTAATTATTTTATAATATTCATAAAAATATAAAATAACTAATAAATATAAAATACTTATTGTGCATAAAGTGCTGATCTTAACCTAAGTATGTATCTCTTTAAATTTCAGGTCAAAACAAACAAACGAAATGAGAATAAACTTCGAAATAAATATTTATATCGAGTAATAAGCAAAATATTAAAAAAAAACATAACAAGAGAAAAATTGAAGATAAATAGGATTGATACGAGAATGTAAGCTTCTCATAACCATAATTAATTTTAAAATTTTTAAATCATGATATAAAACTGAGTTAATTTTTAATTTTTTAATTGATTAAATTGTTTAAATTTTTTAAATTTTAAATCATTATGGATGTTAAATCATGACCATAATTAATTTTAAATTGTTTATTTGTGTTTGAAAAACTTAAAATATTGTTTTTTAAATAATTTAAAATTTAACATAATTTTGTAGAAAATTATTTTTAAAAATAATAATTTGTAAGAAATATAATTTTCTAATATTATTAGACAAATAAATAAATTATAATAAATTAGTTTTGTAACTTTATATATTTTAAATGCAAATATTTTACCAACTGTTTCTTAAAAAACATTAGGGAACTTGCTAATACTCTACCAATCAAGCCCACTGACACTCCATTTATTTTCCATCACTCGAACACTGAAAAGTGAAAAGATATATGAAATCAGGTCCATTAAATTCTAAGATTTGATCTACAGTTCTAATTACAATTGTTTCTGATCCTACGTATAGATAATTATATAAAAGTTTCAAAATTCTAAAATTTCAAATAAATAAAAAACAATCATATGTAAATTTTAAAATTGTCAATACTAAAATTTTATATTTTAATTACATATATTCACCATGCGCAAGTCTTATCCTAGTATGTAGGTTAAAGCCCAAAACCTAATAGGTGGGGATGACCTATTTGCATCAGAGCTTCAGACTGATATCTGATAATTTGTTTATTTGATTCTTAGTTTGCAAGGGGATGACCTATTTGCATCAGAGCTTGAGACTGATATCTTTAATATCATACTCACAAAGGTAATATATCTTTGGTTTTTTTGACTTCTTAATAGGTGAAATATAAGTTCTTAAAAAAAAGAATGTCAGTTCTTAAATCACCATTCATAATAAGCTGTGTAAATAGTGATGTAATTCAATTTGATTTCAAGTTTTTAGATTCACCACTAATATCAAACTCGACCACATCCAACTAAGATTTCCGACTTGGCTTCTTACATGTGTGATGCTCCAGTTACATGAAATCGATGACCTCAGAACTACCATAGTTTCTTGGAAAAAAGTAACTCCAAATTGATAGATGAAATCGGTAATGTTCTTTTGATATGTTCAGTCATCTTTATAGAAAAGAAAGATTACAGTACATCTTTTGGTTTGTTGCCGTTTCTTTGTGTGAAGTTGCTTGGTAAAGAAGAAGACACAGGGGAAAGAGCTTGACACAATATTAGTGTGACTTTCAAGAATTTATTGATAATAGATCAAGAAATTGGTGAAGAAATAGACGAAGATAAGAAGATCAAGGGCGTCTTCAACTGTGAGGACATACCATGTGTGTGAAACATGAAGGTTCCACACGAAGGAATGCCAATATATAGGATGGAAAAAAATGGTTTGGAGTTGTGGTGTGTTGTAATATATATTCGAGATGAGAATATGTGATTTTGTAGTGTTAGGATTCATTGTCAAATCATAGGAATGCATTGTCTTACCAGTTATATTGCATTCTTTCAATTGGTGTTCTTTTTGCAATTTGTGAATCTTATCAAATGTGAAATGAAGACTTGGTAGTAGTTAATACCTTAGTAAAGACACTTTTTGGCTTTGTTTCATAATTGTTTGAACATTATTTTCATTCTATATTTCCAAAATCACTAAACTTACAGATTTTTTTCCCGAACTATCTAACTATCTATATAGATAAAAGAGAGGTAAAATTATTATAAGCACATAAATATCGATTTTTCCAAAAAAAAAATTCTTCAGTCCGTGTGTTTTACTGACAAAAATATATATTTAAAAACATTTTTAATGATTTTAAAACACTTAATCTCAATCACATCAATTAATTTTAATATTTATAATCCCTTATTAAAAATCAATCATTTATCCTAAATTTACAAACTTAAATAAAAAAATTTATAAAATATCGTATAAAACGTGAGCACATGAAACAAAGAAGTAATAGGAAAAAAATTAAAAATTATATTTTAATAAAAGATCATTAAAATAATAATATGATTTTGCAAATATATGCAACACACTCTACTACACAATAAATGAACACAATAGTTTTTATTATACAAAAGAGAAGTAAGATTATTGTATCCACATAAATATATAAATATATATATATATATATATATATATTATTTTAAAAGTTACATACTAAACTTCTAAAGAAGAATTCAACCATAATTCAATAACGAGATAAAAAAATATATATATGTATATACTTGCATCATCCGAACAAAAGACATCATACATAGTAGAACTGAAACTAAAATATCTAAAATAAAGCAAATAGGTTCACTGATCAATATTTCCAAAATGAGATCATAATATAGTCTTACTCAAATTAACTCAACAATTATATTAGAAACTTTAGTCTATTGTAACGAGGCTGAAGGTGATTTTTTTAATAGTAAACATTTTATCTAACAGAAACAAAGAAAAAAAAATAAAAGAAATCACAAAATAATGATATACAATTAACATAAGTTATAATTTCTAGACTAAAATCAAATGTTAAAAAAAAAACATAATGAAATGTCAAGAAGTGGTCAAATTCCGCGCATAGCTTAGACTGATCCTAGTATACTATAATTAAAAGCAATCTGTTATTGTGCACATAAAAGTTTTTATTAATCTATATTTATATATATACATCTATCTATTTATATAAAGAAGTTTTACTTCTTTCTAAGAACATCTCCAGAAAGAAACTCTATTTTAGAGTTTCACAAACTCTATATTTGAAGTTTCAAAGTGATCTTCTCCAAAAGAAAAACTTCAAAATTATTTGTATATTACATTATAGTCCTTATATTTGTCACAATTAATGAAAATTCATAAGAATTTTATAAATAACTAACACATATATAAAAATATTACATAAATATTAATTAATAAAATTTTACATTAAATATAAAACTAGAAATAGTAATACATAATTAAATATTAAACTACAAGAAAAATACCACATTATTTCATGATATGATTGAATTACGAATGAAAATGAAACAAAAAAAGTTAGCATTAAAAAAGTAATAGAGAAAAAAAATATTGCTAATCTGTGATGTTAATACTCGTGAGTACATTCGTTCTGAACAAAAAAAAATCATACGAAAAAGATGTCAAGAAAGTCAAGAACAACCATTTTGATTACGAAAAAATTGTTTGGATTTGAAGATTTTGGAGCTTCCGAGACTTATTTACTAGATTATTAGTGTTGTTGTAATATTTAAATTTCTATAATAATTATGTTTTCATGTACCTTTTTAAAAAATAATTTTAATTAAGTTTGTTTTGTAATATTCTTGTTGTCTAATTCTAATTTTAAAATAATATAAATTTTATTTAAATTTTTTATTTGATTTTATGTGTAAAGCTTAATTTATAGAAATAAATTTAAGATTTGTGAGATATAATTTTTTTAAAGATTAAAATGATAAATAAGAAAATATACTTAAGAATCCTAAATAAGATATGTAAATATAAGGACCAAATTGCAAATAAGAAGATGAAACTTCAAATTTGAAGTTTTGAGAAGTGAAACTTCAAATATGAAGTTTGACTCCCAAAAACTTCAAATTTGTAGTTTCTTTTTGGAGAGAAAAAACTCTATATTTGAAGTTATAGAGAGTCTTTTGTAGATGCTCTAAGACCATGATTAACCCCTAGTCTCTTAATTGGGGTTCTTACCTTCGGCTAAGAGACGGTTCTTAATTTTTCTTAGTTAAAACTCTTAGAAAAACTAAGAACCGTCTCTTAAATAAAAGATATAAAAGTTGTCTCTTAGCTAAAAAATGTTAAAAAAAAAAGAAAAATAAAATATGTCAAATCATGAGTTAAGAACCCGGCTAAAGACCGAGTTTAATTATGCCCCGAGGCCATCCATATAGAAATCCACGTAAGAAAGTCGATCCCTCACTCGTGTCGTGTTTAATTGAGACGGTGAGTTTTGTTTAGACGCATATCATGATGGGCTTCAGTCGTTTATTGGGTGTTTGGTCAGTGATTCTGTATCGAAGAAACTAGCTTCATATCTCTTCTTCGTGCGGTGCCGCCGTGATGTCTTATCTTCCTCTTCCCATCTGAAACGGTCTTATTAATTGCTTTGTGTTTAATCCCGTTGAATCACACCTCACCTTCCTTCAGTTCACAAAATCCAACGAAGAGAGTCTCAAATCAGAAGGCAGCATCAGAGAGAGTCTCAAAACAGATCCCCATAATCTTTGGAATCTGGTATCTCCGATCCAATCTCGACTGGATCCGTATTTTTGTGATAAGATGGACATTGAGAGCTGATAAGGATGATTGCTATCTCTTTTGAATTTTTAGACTCTTTGGAGAAGCCAACACACATTCGGGGAATGCGGCTGCTGGCTCCGTCATTGGAAAAGGAGGCTCCACCATCACTGAGTTCCAGGCTAAGTCCGAGGCAAGGATCCAGCTCTTCTTCATTAGCTAGCTTCGTTTCTCTTCTTCGTGCGGCTTCGCCGTGACGTCTTATCTTCCTCTTCCCATCTGAAACCGTAATCCTGTTGAATCACACCTCCACGATGTGTCTTTAACTCGATATTTACTTTATGCTGTTAGAACTGATTAATCAATTTGATATTTGTTGTAATTTAGTTCATTTACTCCTCTCGCTGGCAACGCTCACCCAAGGATCAATCACCGTTTACCGTTTTAACTCCTTCCGACTTATCTTGCAAGTAGGCTCAGTTTATGAGTTAAAGGGTTTTGATGTTAGGAGAAGCAATCCAACCTTCAAGTCTGCTGACGCAGCCGTTTCTATTAGATTCACGTACCAGGCAGCTTTCGTGGAGGTCACAGACAACTAAGCTGATCCTGAGGGAGACAAGGTAGTCTGATAGAATATGCTCTCAATGATGAATCCCAATAGAGGGGAAAAGGTACGTCAACATTTTGATCTTGAGTTTCATTAATTTGTCATTTCTTTGGACTTGCTGGTAAGGGAGGAAGATGAAAAGGAAGCACAGCTTATCGCAGAAGAAGAGGAGCTAGGGAGATTGAGAAAGATGTGCAACCTGAAGCATTAAAAGTTAAAAGAAACCTTTGATTGTTGTGTTATAAGACTTAACTCTCTTTTTTTTAGTGGTTCTCTCTTTCAAATATCCCCGGCTGCTTGAGGCAATAGAGTTTTAACTTTTTATTTTGTTTTTTTTTTAATGTTGTTTTTGGGTCTGGATCAGGCTTGAATCGACAATGACCCTCGTTGTTGAAAACGCTTACTGCATCAGGAGTTTTAGCAACATCAAAACTAAGCAAAGATGAGAGACCACACAAAAAAGGGTTTTCATGTTATACATATTATTATTCTCAAATTGACTCTGTCTCACTTTGCCATTGTCTGTCCAAAAACAAGCATCTGAAATGCACATTTTGAGGATATTATGTGTTGCAAATGATGAAGTATTTTTATCTACAAAAGAAAGTATCGCACAATAGTAATGGAGAGGGACGTGGGCATTTACAAACATCACATGCAAGTTAGCACATGCTGTATATATAGTTGATTTTGTCTTAGTCATTACTATTTCTCCAGTCATATGATCAACATTTTGATTTGGTGACATAATCTAATTTTGTTGTACAGGTTGCATCAGCTCAGATAATCATGTTGCGAAAGGACTTAAAAAAACTTGAATTTCATGTGAAACTATAGAATAGACATCTGAATGGACCTCCTATTAACTCGAACTCTGGGACATGTTACAAGGTGAAGTTCCTCAATATTTTTTTGTGGTACTCTGGAAGAAAGTATAAGACTCTGGATCAGTCATCTTTGGCAATGGAAACAGAAGTTCCTACATGCAACATATGAGTAGGTACTGGCACATTCCCTGGTTTATCCAAGTATGTACGTTGAAGGAATAAAAGATCTTAATGGTTTGTGACAACAATTAGGTTTCATTACAAAACATTTGATGTTAGACCAAAAAATCATTTGATGCGTTTCGGTTGGTTGTGCTTTTTTCGTTTGAGGTTTTCATTTTTTTTTGTATTTCATTACAAAACATTCGATGTATTTATTGGGAAATAATGAGATCCTTTTATCATGCCTAATTAAAGATCTTGAAAACCACAAATTTTTGTTCCATATTCATCATTCACGTAACGTGCCTAATATATGTTGACAAATATTATAGTAAATAGCGAAAATCTATATTATAATAGTACACTTTCTAGGTTACACAATGTGCCACGTCAGCAGTTTTGTAGGTCCTATAGGTATTTTTTAAAAACTTATAGTCTTGGTAAGATGATTACAAACAATGAAATACACTTTAGCCAAGTGGTATAAGGTGTCTAATTAAGTATACAAGATCGTGGATTCAAACCACGCAGCCATCATTTATTTTTGATTTTTGGGTTATTATCATATGGACTTTTTGTTTGTAAGGTTTTTATGTTTTTTTTATGACTTATTGTTTTAAAGATCAAAATATTTGGATAAATCCTAAAACTGAACGAGTTCAAACTAAAAATAGTTAACAAATGGATGCAAAAATGAACAATAAAAAAAAAAAAAAACAAGTCTCACGCGGTTGCCTACGCGGATGGCTTAAAGAGCCTTAAAATTATCCTATTATAATATAGTTCAACCCAAAAATAATAAAAAATGAATCCAAAAACGAACCGACCAAAAAAAAAGAAGTGAATCCCACGCGGTTACCTACGTGGATGGCTTAATGAGGCTTGAATAATAAGATTAAGAGCTCAAAAAGTGAAACATTGCACATATTTCCTAATATATATTTTCAAAAAATTTGTATGTCAGATAAAATAAAAAAACAACAAAAATTAATTATTTTCGTTATTTATTTAATGAATATGTAATTTCTCTTACATTTTAATAACTACTATAATTTCATTGAAAACATTCCTCACCACCGATTTCAGACTCCGGCGAATGGATTCCCACAGTCGATGACGCCGTAAATAAAAATGCCACATCATTTATGAACAAAACTCAAANAATATGTAATTTCTCTTACATTTTAATAACTACTATAATTTCATTGAAAACATTCCTCACCACCGATTTCAGACTCCGGCGAATGGATTCCCACAGTCGATGACGCCGTAAATAAAAATGCCACATCATTTATGAACAAAACTCAAACTTACAAAAAAACATATATAAAAACCTATCTAATGAAACTTAAACAACGAATTTTAACTTAATTAAGGTTATTTCAAACTGATAAATCGTTTAATACAAATATAAATACTATAAATATAGAATTATATCAAGTTTTGACCTACGATATAAAAACTATTTACAGCAAAAAAAAACACCTACTTTTACATACTAAAAACTATATTATAGCCTAACTATTCCTATAAACTTACTTCGCATATAAATAACATTTAACTCATTCCTAATATATTTTCAAAAAATTTGTATATGAAATAAAATAAATAAACAACAAAATTTAAGTATTTTTCGTTATTTATTAAATGAATATGTAATTTCTCTTACATTTTAATAACTACTATAATTTCATTGAAAACATTCCTCACCACCGACTCTAGACTTCGGCGAATGGATTCCTCGATGACGCCGTAGAAAAAATGCCACATCATTTATGAACAAAACCCAAACTTACAAAAAACCATATATAAAAACCTATCTAATAAAACTTAAACGACGAATATTAACTTAATTAATGTTATTTTTAAATTGATAAATCGTTTAATACAAATATAAATACTATAAATATAGAATTATATCAAGTTTTGACATACGACATAAAAACTATTTACAGCAAAATAAAATAAAATAGACACCTACTTTTACACACTAAAAACTATATTATAACCTAACTGTTCATATAAACCTTACTTCGCATATAAATAACATTTAACACATTAGATATACAATATTTTCACTTTACACTCTTATTACATTCTTTCCATTTCATTAATATTTGGTGTCATTAGAAGAATCCACTAAACCACTAAATCGAAAAAAATATACGCAAACATAATGATTTCGGCTCCGCGCTTGCGCGGAGAGTATGCAACTAGTAACTATGAAGGATTTGATTCAAGATTTACAGATTTAATGGAGTGAATTTGTTTAATTATCAAAAAAATATTATCATTCAAACATTTATCAAAATATAGTAAAATATATTTGAAATATAACACATTTGTAAAAAATATTAACATATATATCTGAAATTTTTTATTTAACTACTTTTCAAAGGAATCATCTAAATGCCAAAAGTATATAAATAATAATGCAATAAAAATATAAAATAGTTAAAAACGAAGTGAAATTCACTAACTTACATAATCACAACAAAACATCGTTAAATATTGTCATTTTTTGTTGTCTTACACATTTTATATTTTTTAGTGCAACATAATCTTAGCAATCTTCAGATATAAGAAATAATAAGACAAAATACGTGCTAGGATTGAACATTTGGATACCCATTCGGATTTGGAGCGGATATTTTGGAATTTTAGTATTGGGGTCTAGTATCCATTTGGGTATTTTTTTTACATATCTGATAGGATTTGGATATTTTTTAGTTTGAGTTTGGTTATTTTAGGTTGAGTACAGATTTTTAGATTTAGATAAAATTAAATTCTTCATTACTCAAGTTTTTTACTTAAATTTTAGAATTAATTTAACTGATTTTCTAATTTTGAATAGGTTAGACGATTAATAGATTCGGAGATAAAACTTTAAAAATAGAAAAAACTAGTCTGGCTGTTATTTTAATATTTTGAATGTAATTTTTGTTAATGTATGAAACAAAAAGCTTGACCTGGATTTTAAATGAGAAACCAATATTACTTTGTCCATAGTTATATATACATTATCTAATCTGTACCATATGCGGCAATAAATATTTTGAATAAATGAGAGAACTAAATTAGAAATATAAGATTCAATATATATTCTATTATATACACATATTCTTTTGGGTTTAGATATTACGTTTTTCGGGTTCGAATATCTAATTTTCATAAATTAATATTTGTTTGGATAATTTATCATTTCGATTTGGATTGCGGTTTGGGTTTTCATATCAAATTTGGATATGGGTTCATATATGGATAAAATTACCATATTCAAAGAATATTCAAAAAACGGATGTATAGCGCTGGAAAACTTCTAACTAATAATTTATGTTCCTTAATAAGTATTTTAAAAATTAAGAAAGAAAAAATCAAATTAATTCTTACAAAAAACAATATATTTATCAAAATTATACAAAATTTAGATCTTTCATTTAACGAAAACCAAAATATCACATTTCGCGCGTAGTGCTGATCGATATTATTCTATCTATCAATCTGTATATATAAAGTAGAAGACTCTCTTCATAGAGAGAACCACATCACTTAAATGGAGGGACAAATGATTCCATGTGTCATCTCTTAAATAATAATTTTATTATTTTTCTTAATTTTTAGGAATTGATCATTATTTGTAACTAAATGGTATGTTCTTCTACCTTTTCAATTCTCTGATCTATTTAATTAAGTCATCAAAATAAAAAATCTCAAAAAGTTACAATACAAAAATATTATCAACTTTAATTATAATTTTTAGTATTTAAATTACATATATAACTGTAATTTTTATTATAATTATAATTTGAAATATTTAACCATAGTAGTTGCATGTATACTATTTGTTCATTGGAAAATAATTTCATTGAATGAAATTTTTTTTTTATAATTAACGAAATTGTAATTTGTTCGTTAGCAACACGCATTCAAGTGAGTGTAAATCATCCACGCTCGCATGTTTTCTTTTAATCATTCCCGCTTGATTAATAAGGAATCTCCATTCCAGCAAACAAAAAGTATTTATTCTAGGTAAATTTTCCCTTTTATTTATTGTGAAAATAAAATTAATATTCTCTTCTGGAAACAGTTTTGTAGTATCTATGTGCAAGCCTACGTGAAAGATCCAAAGTTTCGTCACAATTCACAAAACAACAAGTTTTTCAAAAAAAAAAAAATCACAAAACAAGTTTGATAATATATGTGTATATTAGTTTTGATTGCCCTAATTATACCTCTATATATTAAATGAGAAGTCATTTTATTGAATTCTGATGACGTGACACTCATACAAGTATTCTATTAAAATCCTTATAATTTCATTAGTTGATTTTTTTTTTAAAACACAACTGAGCATTACATCTAGAACTTAGTAAAATACATTGCCAAACAACTAAAAACATAAACTAAAAAGTTTAGACTTTTATTGTTCGTTAACTAT